AGCTGCCCCCAAGAGTTCCTCTTTAGGCACATGTGACATCCCACTCATAGGCTGAGAACTTGTTTGGCCTCTTGCTAAGCTTCACGTTGCAACTACCATTCCTCTTCTCTGGTACTTGGGCATCCTCCAACTCAAATATCTATGGACCTACATCAAAGGTTGAAAGGCCGGAGCTCTCATGCTGTTCACTGTGACGCCTTGACATGTCTCTGTACAAACTATGTGGATGGTCACTGTGCAGGTACTGAGTACTAGGCTGTTATCTGCAGTATTTAATTAGTATCTTAAATAGACTGGAAGGGCAATTCAAGGTGCCCAGACCAGTATTTGTCATAGCAGACATTTCTTGAGTAGTCATTTACATATTCAAATGATCTGTCAGTTTGTCACAGATAATTTGTTTCAGGGCCAAAATAATCTTTATAGACCCTTTTAGGTCAGGGCAACCCATAGCTCTGGCTTACATAGGTCTTTTTGGCCAAGCATATGTCCTCAGGGAATACCTGGGTATGCTGGTAAATGTTTAACAACTCTCTCTGGGGGGAAAAAAAGTATAGCAGACACCTTTTTTTAGTTTAATTTGCATTACTAACACTTTCTTAAGCCTAGACAATCACCAAAACAATAAATCAAGCCCTGATTTGTAGTTTGATTTCTGAGGTGTAAATGTTCACACTGAAAATTTAACAATTCGGCACTCCAGCTGGTTTGAGTTGGCTCCAGCATGCCTCTGGATACCCACTTTTCTGACAAGTCTGGAAAAAGTGCTTGTTAACCCAGAATAGGAACTAGGGTGGAAGCTGTTCCTCCCCCCTTCCCCCACCAACTTAATCATCGTCATTACTACTGTCTGACCAGGGATGCAAAATAATTCAAGTTTATGTGTGCATTCTAAATATGTGTGTCCAGGGTTTCATCTCCAAAGTGGTCAGACAGGGTCCTTGAGACTTTCTCTTAATCATGTCACTGGCAGAGGCTGGCTAGTCCTGTAACACTTTTGTTACCTTTCCAGCCTAGAGGCTAAGTACCTTCCTGGAAAATGTTCCTAGACTGGGCTTATCTTTATTGTTAGTAATGTGTACATTATATGATCTGTCTCCAGGGAAAGTTCTCAGGAGAACTGAGTACTGTCTTTGGGTCTTCTCCTTGAAGTCACGATGCTATTTGAGTTGGGGAAATTTACCTTCCATGCACATCTAGGCAGGTGGTAGGGGAAACATCTTTGGTCTATAGGGTATAGACTCAACACCGCTCAAGCATGTTTCTTCCAGGAAAAGTCTTTTGGTATCGTTCTATATAGGGTGAAACCCCAAATCTATTTTCATCATCAATTGCGGTGCAGAGTCATCATTTCCATTCATTAACTCTGCAAGTGTATTATCTGTCTGCCCCTCCAATAGACTATGAACTAGTTTACAAGTAGTACTATATAGCTTACTTTTTTTTTCAAGTTTTTGTTGTTGTTGTTATTTTTAGGCAATTGGGGTTAAGTGACTTGCCCAGGGTCACACAGCTAGTAAGTGGCAAGAGTTTGGCCTGAGGTCGGATTTGAACTCAGGTCCTCCTGACTTCAGGGCCAGTGCTCTCTCCACTGCATCACCTAGCTCCCTTCTGAATACACTTTTTTTTTACAATCCTCCAGTTCTCTAATTCTGATCTTCATGAAGTTTACACATCCTCCTCATTAAACAGGTTCTACTACATATAACAGTAGCCCCTTATGAATTGTTGTTGTTCAGTCATTTCAGTAGTGTCCAACTCTTCATGACCCCATTTTGGATTTTCTTGGCAAAGATACTGGAGTGGTTTGCCATTTCCTTCTTCAGCTCATTTTACAGATGAGGAAACTGAGGCCAACAGGATTAAGTGACTTGCCCAGGGTTACATAGCTAGGGTCTGAGGCTGGATTTGAACTCAGGAAGAGGAGTCTTCCTGACTCCAGGCCCTGTACTCTATCCACTGCAGTGCCACCTAGCAGCCCTCCCCTTATAAATACTAACTTTCACAAATTGACAATATTTTACAAATACCATATCCATATACTACCACCAAAAAGCAACATTACAGTTACCAAGTAATTTAATGAATTCTAACAGTACAAATTAGAAACAGTAATATACAATTTCCCTGCCATGGCAATAATTCATTATTAACTCTCTGACCATCTCTACCCCATCAGAAACTGGGACTTCACTCCTGGCTTCTCTCAGCTCTGGGAGCTGAACTTTTTGCCTTAACCAGCTGGGAACCAGGCAATCACAACACTTCCTGTTATCTTGCCACCAGGCTTCCATGTGGGTGCCCCTCTTTTCCCACCCCTACAGTACCCTTTTATGTGTTGTCTTCCCTCATTAGAATGGAAGCTCTTTGAGGACAGGGACTACCCTATTTGCCTTTATAGGTATCCTCTACATTTAGTATAGAATCTAACTCAAAATAAGCATTCAATAAATGCTCTATCTGTCTATCTATCTGTCTACCACAGTGTCAACCACAGTTCCCAGCAGATTATGCCAATTATAAAACAACTGGTATTCTCTTAGGCATAGATCAGAACTAAAATTCTTATAATAAAAATTCTTAAAGTGAATAATGCTCAAAATATAATGCTTGAACAATAATTCAGTAAATTCTGCTTAAAAGGAAGCTAAACAAAACAACAACAAAAAAAATAAAAACTTAGCACAGTATTTAAACTCCCAAACAGAAAAAAGGAAAGAAAGATAAATTATCCCTGACAAGATTCCCAACTTGTAACACTATTACACTAAATAGCTCATTATAGCTTAGGGGCAATATAATGGCTCCTTCCTCTTTGGCTTTAGGGGCTTAATTCTAGATGAACAGTTATGACTTCAATCACCATTGCTGAGCTCCTAGTTAGGAAAATTCCTAATATTTAGGCAAAAGTTAATCTCTCCACCTAACTTTACATTTATATCCTTCTCTACTTAGTCCATTTGAGGTAGAGACAAAATTCAGTTTACTTGAAATGTTTGGTTAATGAAACAGCAGATTATATTATAGTGTCTGTCAGTATACTACAGGCCTTGGGAGGGGAAATGGGGAAAGAGCTGACCTTTTCTCTAGATTTCCTTTGCTTGGATCTTCTTTGCTCTGAGATTTCTGTGGAGTCAAAAGACTCTACTCAATATCTTGCTTTTCTACCCCAGGTCAGCCTTGCCTCTGCTCCTTACTGTGTGCTGGAATACCATGCTTCCTCTAACAGCTCTGCTTTCAGACCCTCAGAATTTCTGTCTTGCTCTAAAATAATTCCTTCCTTTTATACAAATTTCTTTGTTGTTCAGTCATTTCAGTGGTCCCACTCTTCTTTACCCCATTTGGTTGGGTTTTTTTTTTTTTTGCAAATATGCTAGAGTGGTTTGTCATTTCCTTCTCCAGCTCATTTTACAGATAAAGAAACCGAGGCAAAGTGAAGTGATTTGTCTAGGGTCACACAGCTAATAAGTGTCTGAGGTCACATTTGAACTCAGGTCTTCCTGACTCCAAGGGCTGCTAGGTGGCGCAGTGGATAAAGCACTGGGTCTGAAGTCAGAAACATCTGAGTTCAAATGTGGCCTCAGCCACTTACTAGCTATGTGACTCTGGCCGACTCACTTCACCTTGTTCTCAGTTTCCTCATCTATAAAATAAGCTAGAGACAGAAATGGCAAACCACTCTAGTATCTTTGCCAAGAAAACCCAAACTGGGTCACCAAGAGTAGGACCTGACTGAACTTCCTGCTTGCAAGCCCTGTGTTTTATCCATTGCAACCTAGCTTCTTTAGGGAGTGGTCAAGTGTTTTAGATAATGGCTCTGATTCACAATTGGTTCTGATTGATTCCACCAAAAAGTATTCTTACCTAATTAAGTATGTGTAGTAATCAATGGATCCTCAACCTTACAATGTAATACAATATTGCTGCATTATAAGAAATTACGAAAGCGACAACTTTAGAGAATCCTGAGTATTACGAACTGATACAGAGTGAAGTGTGCAGAAACAGAACAATTTATTGTACAACAACTCTGTAAAGAATGACTTCAGAACTCTGATCAATACAGTGACCAACCAGGTCTCTAAAGATTCCATGATTGAATCATGTTACCCACCTTCTGACAGAGAGGTGATGGATAGGAAATGCAGAAAGAGCCAGACATTTTTGGACATGGCCTCTGTGGGGACTCATTTTGCTCGACTATGCTTATTTGTCACAAGGAGTTTTTCCCTTTTTTTCTGTTTTTTTTTTTTTGGAGTAGGAGGGAGGGTGTAGTCAGCAATAGAACAGAAGGACGTTTAAAAGGGTGCACAGATAAGCAGAACGGTTTTGAAAATAACATTTGAGATTTATTGCATACTTTTTCAAATATAAAAAGCAATGATATGAAATAGATTCACAGTTTCATCTGTAACCCTCTTTAGTATTCTGCTCTGTATATGGAAATGCTCTTTTTTGGTGTCTACGTTCAAAGTCAAAGACAAAATCAAAAGCTATGGGAAAAAAAATGTCTACTGTGTATAGAGCACTGGATAATCACTGGGGGAGATGTGTTTTGAAAACATAATCTCTATCATAGGCATGCAAAGAGCATGGTCCAGGTGGATCACCCTGGGGTGAGCATGGTCATTGGTCCTAAGGAGCTTACTTTTTCCTGGGAAAGGGGAGAGTTTGCAATACAACAGGTACATGGCAGTAATTTCAACTAGCATGAGGAGGAATATAAGTAACTTACAGTCTAGTCAGGGGAGACAAGCCTTATATACATGAAACAATGAGAGACCAACATTGGGCAATATATAATTGAGTGCATATACTAAGTATTAGTATATTAGTATATAAGTATTAACTTTCTTTTTTTGTAAATTTTACTAGAAATAGTATGAATATAGTATATATAGTAGTATCAATATATAATATATCAATATATAACTTATTTTTAACCAAGCATTTGACAAATTTCTTTATCATATCCTGGTATACAAACTCACCGTTGAGTTGCCTCAGATCTTTTCTACATATACTTGCTCCAATTTCTAAGTGCTGCAGTCAAAGTTCCAAGACTATAAAGATCCAGATGACTCGGAAATCTGCATCTGTGGCAAAATATATGAATTATTGGCTTTATTGCTGAAGACACAAGGGTATTGGCAAGAGAAGAGTCCTCAGGTAGGGCAGAATAGAAAGTATGGCTGGGACTGAGAGTTCATGTCTCTTCAGTTGATACCCCCACCTCCCTGGCTACCTTGGGGCTTCTTGGCTAGATGGAAATGGTATGTTGTGAGGTTCTAAGATGGTTGTTCACTCACAAGAATTTACAAAGTAACATAAAGTAATTTCAAGAGGAAGAGAATGGTAGTAAATGGAAGAGGTATATGTTTGGGAGGGAGGAGGATAGGGACAAGCCTTATGTGAAAGGTGTTACATAAACTGTATTTGAAACTAGTACACAAGTGTAAGATAGCACAACTTCTGAAAAAAGGTCAGGGGGTTTTAGCGGACTGTGGACTGCAAGCTTCATATGAGTCAGCAGTGGGAGCAGGCAAGTGGAAAAAGAGTTAATGCAATCTTAGGCTACATTAAGAGTGTCACAGCTTCTAGGAAGAGAGAAGTAATAGTCTCATTGTACTCTGCCTTCTTCAGATGTCATCTGGAGTACTGCATTCATTTCTGGGTGTCATGATTTAAAGAAAGAATTGATAAAACATAAGAGTGTCCAGAAGAGGGCAACCAGGATGCTGAAGAGCCCTAAGTCTATGATATGTGAGGATTGATTGAAGAAACTGGGAATGTTTAACCTGGAGAAGAGAAGACTAAGGGTTTGCATGATAGCTGTCTTCCAGTATTTGAAGGGATATCACATTAAGGAGGGTCTAGATCTGTTCCATTTGACTACAGGGGCTGAACGAAGAGCAGTGGGTAGAAGCTGTCAAGGTAAATTTAGGCTTTAATGTGAGGGAAAACTTGCTAATAATCTGTTTCAAAGTGGAATGGACTGCCTCAAGAGATGGGAGGTAGGAGGCAGATAAGTGGCACAGTGGATAGAGCTCTGGCCTTGGAGTCAGGAGAACCTGAGTTCAAATCCAGCCTCAGACACATAACACTTAAACTAGCTGTGTGACACTGGGCAAGTCACTTAACCCTGATTGCTTCACCAAAAAAAAAAAAAAGCAAGAGAGAAAGAGAGACAGACAGAGAGAGAGAGATGGGGGAGGTGGGGTTCTTCTTCCTTGGAGGTTGTCACACAGATGTTGGACAACCATTTATCAAGTATTTTATAGTTTGCGGCTGTTTTTGTTTTAAGGGCTGGGCTAGATGGCTCCTGAAGTCCCTTCCAAATTCCAAATTCTGGGATTCTAAGAGGAGGGCAAAGGTCAAGGGGCTGCGTATTTTATCTGGGGCAATAGGTTTACCCCATCCCTGGGCATTCCATTCTATTTCATTCTATATTTGAGGTTGTGGTCCAGAGATCCAAATTCCATCTCACGTACCATCTTCTTAACCAGCTTCTAATTTCCCCAATCTGCCTCTTTTCTGCAGCCCTTGTCTTTAGTAGACATCAGTGATGAAAATATTAGTACTAAGGTCTTCAATGTCTTACCTAAGATTTTGTAATCTTAAGCAATGCTTTCGAGATCCCTTATGACAGTATCAGTTATGCCCCATCCCTCACGATGTTTCTCCTTCAATTTAATAAACTCAGCAAACGTTTATTAAGCACGCACCTTGTGCTGATTCCTGTGGAAACAAAGATAAATGTGAAACAATCCTGGGACAAGATTTAGGAGGAATTGTGGGAAGATGGCAGAATAAGTCAGAAATTACCTATCTCTCCCAAATCCCCCCTCCAATAACACCTCAAAATGAATTTTAGTGTGGCAGAAATAATTTAAAGTTGGGGTAAAGCAGTGGAGCCTGAGATAACTGGGGAGGACATTAGGAAAGCTCTGACCTCTCCAGGTCAGAGTTGATCTGACTTGATTGAAGTGCAGATTCCTTGGGGCAGATTCCTCCAAATGAACAAACAGCAAACCCTGGGGGCCTCAGCCTCCAGAGCTTTCACCCCAGGCACTGTGTGGGGGTTGGGCACCTGATCAGGGGAAGACCTGTGAGGGCCCTTCACCGGCCCTGGGTGTAGAGAGGAGGCCCCACTTACCCTGATCAGACATGCTGACCAGATACCATCCCAGACAGTGACTGTGGGGAGGAGGGGCAGGGCCCTGCTGGCTGTGGTCACCCCTGGGAGAGCAGAGTCCCTGGTTTCAGTTCTGGGGCAGAGGGCAAGCTGACATTTATGTCACTCAGAGACTAAGGCATGAGCCAAAGCGGCAGTGACCACATGTGACCTTGGAAGAACTGAGAAGTCAAAGGCCTCCTGGACAGAGCTCAGAAAACAACAGCATGAAAGACCTGAAGCCTGAGAAGTTATCCCCCACACCACAGCAGCAGAGCCTGACCCAAAGTCAACAAAGTCAATAGCCAAGAAATGAGCTATTAAAAACAAATGACTAAACAACAGAAAAAGAACCTGACCACATGTGGTTACTATGGTGATAGAGAAGCTCAGGATTGAAACTCAGAAGACAATGAAGTCAAAACAGCTATTTGTAAAGCTTCAAAGAAAAATGTGAAACGGTCAAAGCCCAAAAAGAGTTCTTGGAAGAGCTTAAAAAGAACTTTAAAAAATCAGATTAGAGAGGTCGAGGAAAAATTAGGAAAAAAAATAAGAATAATGCAAGAAAATCAAGAAACTTATGAAAAGAAAGTCAACTGATCGGAAAAAGAGATCTAAAAACTTACAGAAAAAAATAACTCCTTAAAAATTAGAATTGTGCAAGGGGAAGCTAATGACTTCACAAGACATCAAGAAATAATAAAACCAAATCAAAAGAATGAAAAATAGAAGAGCATGTGAAATATCTCATTAGGAAAATAACTGACCTGGAAAACTGATCAGGAAAAGACAATATAAAAATTACTGGACTACCTGAAAGTTATGATAAAAAAAAAAAGACTATTTCAAGAAATTATTAAGGAAAATTACCCTGAAGTTTCAGAACCAAAGGGAAAAATAGAAAATGAAAAAAATCTACTGATCACTGCCTGAAAGAGATCCCAAAATGAAAATTCACAGGGACATTATAGCTAAGTTTCAAAGCTCCCAGATCAAGGAGAAAATATTACAAGCAACTAGAAAGAAACAATTTAAATACTATGAAACTACAATCAGGATAACAGAAGATTTAGCAACTTCCACATTAAAAGATGGAAGGGCATAGGATATGATATTCTGAAGAGCAAAAGAGCTGGATTTGCAACCAAGAATAAACTACCCAGCAAAGTTGGGTGTAATACCACAAGGGAAAATGGATATTTAATGAATTAAAGGACTTTCAGCTATTCTTGAGGAAAAACCAGAACTGAACTGAAAATTTCACCTATAAGAATCAGGAGAAACCTAAGAAGGTAAACATGAAAGACTAATTATAAGGGATTTAATAAGGTTAAACTGTATACTTCTTAGATGGGAAAATGTTATTTATAACTCTTGAGAATGTTATCATTACTAGGGTAGTTTGAAAGAGTATACATAAAGAGAAGGCTTGGAGTTGAGTTGATTATGATGGGATGATTCTAGAAAATAAAAGTTCGTAAGAAGAGGTAAAATGGAGCAAATTATCTCATACAAAAGAGGTGTGAATGGAAAACTGTTACAGTGGAGGGGAGAAGGGGGTGAAGGGCTGGTAGTGCTAGAACCTTATTCTCATCAGAACTGTGTTAAAGAGGGAATAACATACATCTAGAAGAGTATAAAAGTCTTCTTAGCTTACACAGAAATAGGGGGAGGGGATAAGATAAAGGAGGGAACCTTAGAAGGGTGTGCGGATTAGGGAGGCAGTGGTCAGAAGTAAGACTTCTGAGGAGGGATAGGGTAAGAAGAGAAAGAGAGAGAAGAATAAACAGTGAAAAAAACAGGATGGAGGGAAACACACAACTAGTAATTATAACTTTCAGTGTGAATGGGATGAACTCTCCCATAAAACGGAAGTGGATGGCAGGATGGATCAAAACCCAGAACCTGACAATGCGTTGTTTATAAGAAACACATTCAAGAATGAGAGACACACACAGAGTAAAAATAAAGGGCTGGAATAGAATTTATTATACTTCAACTGATATTAAAAAAAACAGACATTGTACAAATAAAACCAATATAGCCAAGATTAAAAGGAAAGCAGAAAGTTGGATGAAAAAATTTTTAGATAATTTCTTGGATAAAGGCCTCATCTCAAATATATAGAAAACTTTTGTCATATTTATAAGACAATTGATAAATGGGCAAAGGATATGAACAGGCAGTTTTTGGAAGAAGAAATCAAAGCTATATATAGTCAAGTGAAAAAATGCTCTAAATCATTGGGTTGTTTTTGTTTTTGTAAATAGTATTTAATTTTTTCTAATTACATGTAAAGATAGTTTTCAACATTCATTTTTTATGAGATTTTGAGTTTCAAAATTTTTCTACTTCCCTCTCTCCCTCCCATCCCCACTCCCCAAGATGGCAAGTAATCTGATATAGGTTATACATGTGAAATCATTTAAACATATTTCCACATTAGTCATGCTGTGAAAGAAGAAACAGAACAAAAGGGAAAAGCCACAAAAATTTTTTAAAAAAAAGGTAAAATAGTATGCTTTGATCTGCATTCGGACTCCATAGTTCTTTCTCTGGATGTGGGTAGCCTTTTCTGTCATATGTCCTTTGGAATCATCTTGGATCACTGTATTGCTGAAAAAAGCTAAGTCTATCATAATTGATTATTGTACAATGTTGCTGTTACTGTGTACAATGTTCTATTTGGTTCTGCTCACTTCACTCAACATCAGGATATATACAGTTTTATAGCCCTTTGGGCATGGTTCCAAACTGCTCTCCAGAATCCTAAATCATTGTGGATTAGAGAAATGCAAATTAAAACAACTTTGAGATACCATCTAACACCTATCCTATTCGCTAAAATGATAGAAGGGGAAAATGACAAATATTAGAGGGGATATGGAAAAATTAGGACATGAATACACTGTTGGTGGAACTATGAAGTGATCCAACTATTTTGAAGAGCAATCTGGAATTATGCCCAAAGAGTTATAAAACTGTGTATATCCTTTGACCCAGCAATACCTCTATTAGGTCTATTTCCCAAGGTGATCAGAGTAAAAGGAAAAGAACCTATGTGTCTAAAACGTAGCAGCTCTTTTTATGATGGCAAAGAAATGGAAATTGAGGGGATACTCATGGCCAATCAAGTTGTGGTTTATGGTTGTTATGGAATACTACTGTGCTGTAAGAAATGATGAGCAGGTTGATTTTAGGAAAACATAGAAAGACTTGTATGAAATAATGAATAGCGAAATGAGCAGAACCAAGAGCACATTGTATATAGTAACAACAATACTGTTTGAAGAGTAACTGTGAACGACTAAGATATTCTAAGTAATATGAATATGAAAATCAAGTACAAAGGACTCATAAAGAAAGATGCTGTCTACCTCCAGAGGAAGAACTGATACGTGGAAGTACATATTGTATGGTGATACATAGATAGATAGATATATCTGTATCCATATAGCTGTGCCAAATGGTGGCCTTCTCTAGTGCGGGGTTGGGAGGAAAGGCAGGAGGGAGACAGCTTGGAACTCAAAATGCAACTAAATAATAAATAAATAAAATTTTAAAAAAAGAAAAAAAAGAAACAAGCCTAGCTCTTGAGGAGCTAGCTTACAACATAATGTGAGGAAAGCCTAGAACAGAAATTACTATTGCGATGGGACTTTTTGTCAAGTCAACAAGAAGCCTGGAGTGCATAACGGGGAACTGGCCAAGAAACCCAGTCCTTACGTGTATGCGCAGAATACTCAGCTAATACAATTCCCATATGGACTTAGGTGCATTTGTAGACATTCTGCAACTGGTTCTCGTCTGGTAACTATGTAATGAATAGGAACCTCTTTGATTGGCTACAGCTGTATAGCTGGAACTAGGGGTGCATTTGAAAGGCACTAATCCACCTTGCCCCTGCTCTTGGTCTGTCTTCTTCCAGACCTGAAGCATTCTGGTGAGACACAAGGTATAAGAGAAGAGACCTTGGGCCATCCCTGTCTTTGCCAAGGTATTTGTTCTTTTGTTTTAGGTGATGGATATTAGAAGCTACAACCTTGTGAATTTCCAAAGATCAGTAGAAAAAGTCACTTGGAAGCCTAGGAGTCAAGTCCATGCAGCCAGTAGGTCTAATGTTGAGGCTCTGATGACCGCGAGTCTTTGGGACCCAGCCTATCCTAGTTGAGGCAAGAGCTCAGGTAGTGAGACAAGGGCTCCTCTGGCAGTGATGACCACATGGATGTGAATATGAATGTGAATGTGAATGTGAATGTGGTGGGGATCAATGCTATGTAGAAAGTTCATTAACATGAGTTCACTTTCTCAAGAAACGGAAATGGTATAGGAGAGAAGACTCCCAGCATACAAGTGAGAAATGTTTCAACTTTTGTTTTGCTAAATCTTTGAAATAGACATCCTTTTGCAAAAACAATTGCTGTTAATTGGTTAAATAAATTGGTCACTGGTGGCTAACTTTGGGAGGAACATATTATATTGGAGTCTAGAGATGATAGCATTAGAGAGATGCCCCTAGAATCTTGTGGGGAAGACAGAGCAAGCTTTGCTCTGGGAAAGTGAATCCTGGGTACTAGATACACCGTGGTCCAATGAAGGGCAACGAAGTGAAAAGGAGTGGGCCAAGCAAAACGCTAGGGCGAATTTGAGGAGGGAGAGAGCACTTTCAGCTGGGGGAGGCAGGGAAGGTTTCCCTATCCATGTCCTCCCAAAAGATTGCCACAAGGGACCCACCCAATCTATTGCAGGTTCACCTCAATTCAACCTGACTTTGCACGTGAGCTGTCCACTGAGTGACTAGATTACCCAGTGTGCAGGATGGATTATTTAGGGGACAGACTGGAGGCAGGAGACCCATCTTTTTGGATTGTCGAAGTCTTACCTGTCCTTAAAAACCAAGCTCCTTAAAGACCATCTCCTTCATGAAGCTTTTGAAGACTTTCCTAGCTCATAATGGTCTCTCCTTCGAATCCTTTGTAATATATAGCAGCTGGGCCACTCATTTGGACCCATTAGTTTACCTTGTATTGTTCAGAATTGCACAGTGGGCTTACTTTGCAGGCAGGACCTGGGTTCAAGGTTTGCCTCTCACATATTCCAGCTGTGTGACCACGCTGCAAGCTGATTAAGCTTCTTGGTACTCCAGGAGACTTTCTGAGAATATAAATTACAAATGAGTTGGCAATCTTCATCCACAAACATATCCTATAGCCATGTCAGATGTAACACAATCTAAAACTGTGCTCATTCTCTTCTCTCCCACCCCCACCTCCCACCAAATCCTCCCCTCTTCTTAACTTCTCTATTAATATTGAGAGCACCACCATCCTTCCAGTCACCCAGGCTTGAAACTTACGTGTCATCTTCAACTCCTCACTCTCACCTGCCATATACAATCTTTTGCCAAAGCTTGGTGATTCTACCTTTATAACATCTCTCAAATATGCCCCCTTCTCTCCTCTGACAGGATACACCAAGTGACGACATTGCTACCGCCCTGATGCAGGTCCTCATTACCTCCCACCTGTACTATTGTAATAGCCTACAGGTGGCTCTGCCTGCCCCATATCTGTCCCCACTCCAGCCCACCCTCCATTCAGCTATCAGATTGATCTTTCCAAAGCACAGATCTATGTCATTCCCCTATTAAATAAATGCTAGTAGCTCCCTATCACTCCCAGGATCAAATTGAAAATCCTGTGGGTTTTAAAGTCCTTCATAGCCTGACCCCTTCCTGTTACCTTTCTAGTCTTCTTACACCTTCCTCCCCTCCATGTACTCTGTGATGCAGTGACAATGGCTTCCTTACTGTTCCTTGCACATGACACTCTTCCTCCAGCCAGCATTTTCACTGGCTGTCCCTCAAGCCCAGAATGCTCTTCCTCCTCATCTCCACTTCCTGCCTTTCCTGGATTCCTTCAAGTCTCAGCTAAAGTCTCACCTTCTGCAAGAAGCCTTTACTGATCCCCTTAATGTTATTACCTTCCTCCTGGGACTACCCTCACTTCATCTCGTACGTATCTTGTTTGCAAATGGGTGTTTACACGTTGTCTCCCATATTATACTGCAAGCCCCACTAGGGCAGGGACTGTCTTTTGCTCTTCTTTGTATCCCCAGTGCTTAGCACAGTGTCTGGCATGTAGTAGGTCCTCAATAAATGTTAGTAGACGGACTGAGGGAGTCTCCACAAGGAGAACTCTATACACTAATGAAACCCCACGTCCAGACCCTCCTCCACCAATAAAAAAGCATTGCTACTTATCTATTAACAGATAGATGTCTTGTCTTTCTAACTAGGCTATAAGTAAGTGCCTAGAGAATGGCAACACGGCAATGATTTTTTTCTTCATGATGATAATCAAATCAAAAAGTTATTAAACCTCATGTACCACACTAGGAATTAGGAAAGCATAGACAAAAATGAAACAGTCCCTTCTTTCCAGCAGATTACAGTCTACTAGAGGATGATGAAGAAGAAGATGATGAAAATAATGATGACGGTGGTAGTAGAGGACAATGGATGATTTTTAAGTGGGTATTATGTGCCTAGCGCTTTGTGCTAGGCATGTAAAAGAATATCAGCAGCTTATTATCCAGCAGGGTAGACAAGATGTACCTACACAAAAGAGTGAGAGAATGATACGGGACAATGTGTAATTAAGTGCATACATTAAGTATTAACTTCACTTGCTTTTTTGATTGGTTTACTAAAATGGATGATCAAGGAAATAGCCTAAATATAGGGATAGGGAATAAGGCAGCTAGGTGGCATAGTGCTGGACTTGTAACCAGGAAGACTAGAATTTGAATCCTACCTCAGACACAATTAGCTCACAATCCCTCTCAGCCTTGGTTTTCTCACCTGGAAAATGAGCATAATAAGAGCACTTTCTTCACAGGGCTGTTGTGAGGATCAAATGAAATAATATGGCAGTATAGTGCTTTTGCAAACTTTAAAGCACTATAAAGATGGTAGCTAGACATATAGCCTGTGACTTAATTGGCATAGGGAACTCCAGGGTAAAAAACCTCCTCTACCAATGCAAGCTGGTACCTTCTCTGCAACTCACAGTCTTAGAGAATTACTTAGAGCACCAAGAGGTTATGTGATTTGCTCAGGGTCTCCCAGCCAGTATAGGTCAGGGACGGGACTTGAACCTAGGGCTTCCTGACTTGAAAGTCAGCTCTCTATTCACTACTTCACACTGCCTCTCATAAGTATATGCTGCATAGAAAGCTGGGAAACAATCTTTACATCCAGTGTCTCTGATGAAGGCCTCATTTCTCAAATATATAGAGAACTGATTCAAATTTATGAGAATACAAGTCAGTCCCCAATTGATAAATGGTCAAAGGGACATGAACAGGCAGTTTTCTTTTTTTTTTAAATTTTATTAATTTATTTTGATTTATCAACAATCACTTCCATATTCTTTTGAGTTGAAAATTTTTCTCCCCCTTCCTCCCCCCCACCCTCCCCAAGATGGCACACAATCTGATATAGGCTTTACATTTACATTCCTATTAAACATATTTTCACATTAGTGAAGTTGTAAAGAAAAATTAAAAACCAATAGGAGGAACCATCAGAAAGATGAAACAAAACTCAACAGAAGGTAAAAATAAGTGATAGTGATTCAACTTCCATAGTTCTTTCTTTGGATGTGGACAGCATTTTCCATTCCGAGGCCTCTGGAGATGTCTTAGATCCTTGTGATGCTGAGAAGGGTTCAGTTTAACAATATTAGTCATCACATAACATGGCTGTTATTGTGTACAGAGTCCTCTTGGTTCTGCTTACTTCACTCAGCATCAGACTACATAAGTCTTCCCAGGTTTTTCTGAAGTCAGCCGAACAGGCAGTTTTCAAATGAAGAAATTAAAGCTATCTATAAGTCATATGAAAAAATGCTCTAAATCACTATCGATTAGAGAAATGCGAATTAAAACAACTCTGAGTACCACCTCATAACCTATCAGATTGGCTAATATGACAGAAAAGTAAAATGATAAAGATAAATGTTGGAAAAGGTGTGGGAAAATTAGGATACTAATGCAATTGTTGGTGGAATTGTGAACTGATCCAACCATTCTGGAGAACAATTTGGAACTATGGCCAAGGGACAATCAAACTGTGCATACCCTTTGATCTATCAATACCACTACTAGGTCTATATCCCAAAGAGATCATAAAAAAGGGAAAAGGACCCACATGTACAAAGATATTTCTAGCAGCTCTTTCTGTGGTGGCAAAGAGTTGGAAATTGAGGGAATGCCCATCAATTGGGGAATGGCTGAACAAGTTGTGGTCTATGACTAATGGAATATTATTGTGCTATAAGAAATGATGAACAAGCAGATTTTCAGAAAAACCTGGAAAAACTTACATGAACTGATGCTGAGTGAAGCGAGCAGAACCAGGAGAACATTGTATATAGTAATAGCAACACTGTGTGATGATCAGCTGTGACTGACTTAGCTCTTCTCGGCAACACAATGATCTAAGACAATTTCAAAAGACTCATGAGGACAAATGCTATCCACATCCAGAGAAAGAACTATGGAGTCTGAATGCAGATGGAAGCATACTATCACTTTTTTGGGGTTTTGTGGCTTTTCCCTTTTCTGTTTCTTCTTTCACAACACGACTAATGTGTAAACATATTTACATGATCTATATCAGACTGCTTGCTGTCTTGGGGAGAGGGGATGGGAGAGAGGGAGGAGAAAAAATTGGAACTCAAAATCTTAAAAAAACCCAAACATTGAAAATTATCTTTACATGTAATTGGAGAAAAATACTATTTACAAAAACAAAAATAAAAAATGAAAAAAGTATGTGTTGTATAACTTAATGATAGCAAATCATTTGACAAATTTTTCATAATATTCTCATGTAGACCCCCTCACAATTGTTTTGCCTCTAGCACCGATCTCCTCTATGTATACTTGGTTTTTTTTCCTTTTTTAAAAATCTTTGTTCTCTTCAGTATCATGTCTCCCTTCTCTATAAGCATAAGCATATATGTTAGAGGATATAGGATTATGATGAGGCTGCCAGGTAGCTTCATGCACTGAGTGCTAGACTTGGGGTCAGAAAGACCTGAACTCAAATTTAGCCTCAGGCATTTCCTAGCTGTGTGATCTCGGGCAAGTCACCTAATAAATAAAATAAATAAAGGCACCTAATAAATGCTTATTCCCCCTTTCCCCCTGGACAAGTCATTTAACCAATAATAACAGGTAGCATTTTCATAGTACTTGCTATGTGCCAGGCCTTATATAAAGGGCTTTACAAACATTATCTCATTTAATCCTCAAAACAACCCTGAAAGGTAGGTGCTATTATTATCCCAATTTTATAGTTAAAGAAACTGAGGCCAACAAAAGTTAAGTGACTTGACCAAGTGACCTCACACAGCTAGCACATGCCAGAGGTTAAATTTGAACTCAGGTCTCTCTGAGTCTAGGCCCAGCATTCTATCCACTGTGCCACCTAGTGTGTCTCAGTCTTCTCACCTATAAAATGAGGATGATAATAGCACACTCCCCCCCTCCCTGACCCTCCCCCACCCCCACCCCGGTTGTTATGAGGATCAAATGATAAAATGTAAGTCAAGTGCTTTACAAACCTTAAATAAGGCTGCAGATATAAATGCTGGCTACTGTTCTGGTACAGTTCAAGTGTCTCTAGAACAGTGGGATGGGCCCTCTGTGAGAGGTCTTGGTGAAGGGTCTCACAGGCTTGGATCTCTGTTTGTGCTCTCTGTCATTAAAGGGCACATCCAAATTGATGAGACCATGTATTCAGTTGAATATTTACACATTCTGGTGGTCCAGATGGAGAAATGTAGGTTGCATGACAGCACAGGTAGGTCTATTTATATCCAATTGAACAACCAAACACTGAAAGAGCTCTGATTAATAGGCCAATGGCAGCCTGGAGGGAGGTGCTAATAGCGTGATCCAGGGCTCTGAACTTGGCCCGTCTTATTCTGACATTCTTAGGAATAAATTGGATAAAGCCATGGAAGATAGCCTGTGAGGGAATGCTCACTTCCCTGGGTTTGGAGCTTGACAATAGGCCCAGGGTAGCCCCAGACACAAGTTATTAGGCATGCGTTCCATTAG